GTTTGAGTGCCGGGTGATATTTGAAACATTCGGTCGAACTCTCACGAGTTTGTCTTTTATTCTTTGGGAAATCCCTGAGACGTGTAATACCATGGTGACTATTTTTGAAAGTTAGTTTGGTTCTATGAAGTATCATCATCAATTAGCAATAGGCCCTACCACCTAGTGAGATTTATTCAGCTTTTAGCGAAGTACATCCTATTTATATGGGTTAATGACAGGTGACAGCTTTGATGTCCCACTGCAACTCAAACGGGAAACCGTTTCTTAATGTATGAGGTTATTGTACAAGCAGCTTCTCATTATAATTTGGTTACGATAAAAGTATTACCCTGATCAAAAACGAACCAAAACCCTAGGCTGTGAGCAATTTTTCCAGTAGCTACATGAATTTTTAAAATATTTAATTTAAAACACAACAGTATGTATTTAAAAACTTAGTCTTGTTTTTAACGCCAATTAAAAACAAATACTGACTTAGTTTTTTACGTACTTTACTGACAAATTTAATCGTATAATGTTCTTTGACAGCGAAGGACATCGTAGACGACTGGTATAAGGAAGCAACCAGATTCAAATACGGAACAGAACCAACAAGCATTCAAGGCATTGGTAAGTCAGCTGAAAGAACAATATAGTTTGTCGTCAACATAAATTATTTATTTATATTGGTGTTATAAAAGTTCTGCTTTGAATGTGAATTAGCAGTCCTCCATAAGGTGTGTCTATACGCAATGCGCGCAAATGCGGCATATTGATTTTAGTCATCTTCCGTTATGCCATGCTGTCTGGCTCTGAAGAACGAACACAATAATGCAGGGAATACAATGCAAGCGTCTGAGTCTCGTCTGAGTTGTTTAAATTATGTCATATTTTGCTCAGTAATTATTGAATCAGCCGATTGCTGATGGGAATGGTCGCAAGAGTTCTATAATAACAAGACCAGGAGCAAGAACAAAGTGAGGCTAAGCAAAATAGCATAGAAGGACATCCACATATTTGTTTTTTCATAGGAGACGATATTACTTTGCACCTCCACTGAAACCGTTATAAGTAAAATCGCATATCTAGAGCGATGCTTTTGAGAACGTTGGATTAGAAAGCAAATCAGAGTCAGACTAGTGTAGAATTCCCCTACATACGCTCCCATAAACAGAAATTCATTTAGAGGACAATATCGCAATGCAGAACCGGATACATTCGATAATGTTCACACTTTTAACAGTCAAAAGATGCTATAAAAGTGGGGAGTTTGTACACGAACGTTGGCTAATTTGTGAAACTGGCAGACATTTCTGCGTTAAATCGAAGGAAGAACGTTCGTAGAAAAACCGGAAAAGGCACAGTCTGATGCTACCGGAAGTGCGCGATTTTCGGGCGTGAAAACCCTCTCCTACCCGTTGGCTGTCATAAAAGGTTGAACTTATAACAGTGTAATCAATCGCAACGTACCTTATCAGTTTCAATTTGGACTTACTCACGCAATGCGCTTAGTGAATTTTCTTCAAATTATATAGACAAAGAACATTTAAACATCTGTTTGCCTGATCGACTCTGGGAAATAACTGCATTTATTCACATTTATGCTAAGTTTCAAATATCACAATGCTCAAGTACGAATTTAGGCTAGGAAGCTTTAAGAGCACAAATTAAGGTTCAAGGGTTGTATATTTTAAAGGTATTTACACGG